AGAAACTGCAATACACATGAGAACCCAAAACCTAAGAACTGATCCCTCACCAAGAATAACAGAAACACATCTATAATGATAATAATAATAAACAAAGCACCAGAACATCAGAAAACAATCCATAATGCAAAAATAAACCAAAATATAAGAAACTCAAAATGCTGGGTCAACACTCATCCAGAACCGTAACAGATGTAGACCATGACTGGGAGAGAACGCTTCAAGAGGACCATTGAGAAGCAGGAACCATCTCCAGGACAGCAGACAAACGACAGTGGGCTACACCACTGGGCTTCCAAAGGAATGTCAAGAGGAGATTTTGAACAGCAAAATCTTAAATAAAATGAAAGAGATTTCAACGTTGACGTTGAGGAAGACAACTAAGGTGTACGACGTGCTCTGCCTTAAATCTACAGCCGCGTTGGAACAGAAATCGAGGGATGAAGAGAGCGTGCCAATCTCCAAAGGTGACAGCGCAGAGGGAGATCAGCGTTGGAATTATAACTCTGTAAATGGCACAGACACCAGAAGCCATGACTGTGACTGAGAATGACCACCTAATGCTGTTTCACTTTGCCATGCAAAGTACTTTGACACTCTGGAGAAGACCTTTCCTCTGTGTCATTGTTGTTGCCATTTGCATGTGAGAGCTTAGATTGTGGGGAAGATTAAAGATGAACAAAGGGTGGCGGGAGAAAAGTGAAGTGAGGATACACAGTGTGAAACTCCTTTAAGTGTACAATAATGTTGATGTGATATACAGAATGTCAGGAAAGAAATTCTGGTATTAATGTGATTCTTGATTTAAGAATCAAAGGGTGGGATTGTATAGGAATTTCTTTTACTTATGCATTAATCACATTATTTTATTGTATAATGCCTTGGTGCCACTGGATTTTAACATGTCTGACACCCATACAGTAAGACAAATGGTGGGGGTGTAGTAAGGAATTTGGGGGGAGCAGACACTGGGACCCCCCACACAAAGAGTCTTTTGTCTCTTCGAGGACTCTGGGAGGTAGCAAGGGAATGTGAACCTTAAGGTGTGAAACAGCTGTGTACTGCCTTTTGTTCCTGGAGAAGGTATTTAACTGAGAGTCATGTTAGGCTCAGTGAGAACTCTGCTGACCGTCTGTCCCGAGGACATGCAGGGGCTCCATCAAGCTTGGTTGTCGGTTGTCTTTGTGTGTTTGGATTAAAGAATGTTAGCTACCGCTCACCGCTTGACTGCAGGCTTTATTTAAGGTTCACACTCCCTTGCTACCTCCTCCTCAAAGAGACAAAAGATTCTTCCTGTGGAGTGGTCTGCTTCCCCCAACTTCCTTACTAGACCCCCACCATTTGTCTTACTGTATGAGTGTGAGACATGTTAAAATCCAGTGG